CTATTTGAAAATCTGTAGTCGGGGGAATTGCCAGTTTACTGGTACCCCCCGTGCATGCATGAATATAAAAAGGCCTCAGGCGATTCTGATTCAAACACAACGTGTGGTCGTTTTTCCACAACAGGCCGCAGTTCCCCATTCCCGAACAATGGGAGCTGCAGGGGAGGTATCCGCAGCCAAGGGCAGTGCGCAGAGCCCCCTGCCCCCTCCCTCCCCCAGAGGCCGCAGGGCAAACCTGTAGTTTGCGCACCCCTGATCTAGACCATCCCTGACAAGTGTTTGTCTAACCTGCTCTTTAAAGCCTACAATGATGGCGATTCCACAACCTCCCTGGGCAATTTATTCCAGTGCTTAACCACCCTGACAGTTAGGAAGGTTTCTTTTGTCCTAATGTCCAACCTAAATTGCCCTTTCGACAACCAGAAAATAAGACATTTCTCTCCACTTCTCCAGAATTACGTCATTCTTCATCTAACGAAATGATGTGTTTACACTGAAGTAACTGTGTATCTATTAATAGAGCGTGAGACAAAAGGATGAAAGAAAATGTAGTGTACTACAAACAGAGGAAAATCTGTCTGTGTGTGTATGTATCTGTGTGTGTATCTGTGTGTGTGTGTGTCTGTCTCTCTGAGTGTATGTATCTGTGTGTGTGTGTGTCTGTCTCTGTATGTGTGTGTGTATGTATGTATTTCTCTGTGTGTCTGTCTGTGTGTGTGTGTATGTATCTGTGTGTGTCTGTCTGTCTCTCTGAGTGTATGTATCTGTGTGTGTGTCTGTCTGTCTCTGTATGTGTGTGTGTATGTATGTATTTCTCTGTGTATGTATCTGTGTCTGTGTGTGTTTCCCTTTTGGGATCATATTGGCTGACGTTCTCCCAGCAGAACATTTCGTCGCCCGCACTGCAGCTCCTGTTCCAGTGGGTAAATCGGCACCAAAGAGTCGAGACGTCTGTGTTGTCATCAAATCTCTCTGACCTTTACCTAGAGAGCAGGAGCTTTAACACCACTCGCTGCTTCTCCGCTGTGCATAGAGTCCCCTTGCCAGCCCCTTTCATCTCCCATCCCCGCTAGGTGAGACCCGCATGCAATTCCCTGCCCCGGGAGTTCCTGTTAAATACAAAGCCCTGGTTCTAGGAGCCTCAGTCTCTCCCCAGACACAGAACTGCCCGGTCCTGCCCGCTGGGGAGTTTCCCTCATTGCATGAAAACTAGAATGAAATCTCTGTGGCTTTTCCTTTCCCTGTTCTCCGCCCCCAGCTGTAAGTGTCTATGGGACAGCAGGGGAATCCGGGGCAGACCCATGGATAATTCATTCGGTGGCTAATTCATTTCTCACTTTGTTTCTTTTTTCCCAGGTGTCCTCTCTCAGGTGCAGCTGCTCCAGTGGGGACCGGGGGCGATGAAGCCCAGAGAGACCCTCACCCTGATGTGTGCTGTCTCCAGGGTCTCCATCTCTACTCAATATTATCCCTGGGCTTGGATCCGGCAGCCCCCGAAACAGGGCTGGAATGGCTGGGAGAAATTTACCCGTATAACAGGGACACAGCCTATGCCCCGTCTCTCCAGGGCCGAGTCACCATGTCTGCAGGCACTGTCAAGAGCCAGGTCTCCCTGCAGCGCCGCTCGCTGAGAGCTGCAGACACCGCCACCTATTACTGCGCCAGGAGGCCCCCACAGTGACACAGAGCAAAGCAGGGACTGGTATAAAAAGGGGAAGCAGCTGATAAACAGCAAAGTGAGGACGGAGTAGCAGGGATCCTTCAGCACCCCCACACGCATACACACACACACACACACACACACACAAAAGCTGAACAATTACGCAGAACATACATAAGGGCAGATATTTTTAAAATATGTTTTTGCCCTTGAGCTGCCACAAGAAAGAACCATGGCAAACTGACTGATAAACTGAAGTGATGGGTTAAGAAGGAAGGTTCTCTCATGGATTGGTAACTGGTTAAAAGATAGGAAAAAAAGGGCAGGAATAAATGATCAATTTTCAGAATGGAGAGAGGTAAATAGTGGTGTCACCCAGAGGGCTGTATGGGCACCAGTCCTATTCAACATATTCATAAATGATCTGGAAAAAGGGATAAGCAGTGAGATGGCAAAATTACTACTCAAGATAGTTAAGACCCAGGCAGACTGCAAAGAGCTATAAAAGGATCTCTCAAAACTGGGTGACTGGGCAAGAAAATGGTAGATGAAATTCAGTGATGATAAATGCAAAGTAATGCACATTGGAAAACATAATCTGAACTATGCATAGAAAATGATGGGGTCTAAATTAGCTGTTACCACTCAAGAAAGAGATCTTGGAATCATTGTGGAGAGTTCTCTGAAAACAGCCACTCACTGTGCAGCGGCAGTCAAAAAAGGGAACAGAATGTTGGGAATCATTAAGAAAGGGATAGATAAGACAGGAAATATCATATTCCCTAAATATAAATCCATGATACACCTGCATCTTGAATACTGCATGCAGATGAGATCTCCCTATTTCAAAAAAGATATATTAGAATTGGAAAAGGTTCAGAAAAAGAGCAACAAAAATGATTAGGGGTTTGGAACGGCTGCCATATGAGGAAAGATTAATAATATATGGACTTTTCAGCTTGGAAAAGAGAGGACTAAGGGGGGGGATATGACAGAGGTCTATAAAATCATGACTGGTGTGGAGAAACTAAATAAGGAAATGTTATTTACTGTTTCTCATAACACAAAAACTAGAGGCCACCAAATGAAATTAACAGACAGCAGGCTTAAAACAAACACAAGGAAGTATGTCTTCACACAATGCACAGTCAACCTGTGGAACTCATTGCCAGAGGATGTTGTGAAGGCCAAGACTATAACAGGGTTCAAAAAAGAATGAGATAACTTTATGAAGTCAATCAATGGCTATTAGCCAGGATGGGCAGGAATGGTGTCCCTACCCTCTGTTTGCCAGAAGCTGGGAATGGGTGACAGGGGATGGATCACTTGGTGATTCCCTGTTCTGTTCATTCCCTCTGGGGCACCTGGCATTGGCCACTGTTGGAAGACAGAATACTGGGCTAGATGGACCTTTGGTCTGAAACAGGCGCCTCGGTATCTCCCAGACACAGAACTGCCCAGTCCTGCCCGGTGGGGAGTTTCTCCATTAACCATCACCAGGACATCGTCAATGCCCAGTGCCCTGCTCCCTTTTCCTATTCGCCCCCCCCCCATCAGATGAGTACTTCATGGGACCCTGAGAAACACTGAGGCGTGGAATGCACCGGTTCCAGGTGGGAGTCAGCTCTGTTCTTCTTTCCCCAGGGGTGGTGAAGCCCAGAGAGACCCTCAATATCACCTGTAAGGTCTCTGATCCCGTCAGCACCGGGGGGGTTGCTTCCAGCTGAGGCAGGAATGACACATGCAACTGTTCTGTTTGAAAATGGACCCCAAAATAAAGTGCTTCATCTCTTTACTGTATCTCCCCACCCTTTGTTTCTACAGTCACAGCCCTTGTTCTGACAGAGCCCACAAACTGCATCTCCTCTCCATGCCCAGTTCCACCCGCTTTCATTGAAACCTATTGTCACTCTCCGGTGCCTGAAACCAGCCTTTCTCCCACTGCAGTTTGAGCTGTTTCCCCATCAGACATTTGCAGGAGAGATTCATTCCTATGGACAACACGTTTACATTGTTTAGATTTATTTTATATGCCCAGCATAGGCCCATAGATACCAGACAAATCGCTGGGGAATATCAGAGAACAAAAGACTCTGTTGATTGCTTCCCCCCCACACACCCACAAACAGGAGAAGTGCAGCTGGACTCCTCCCATCAGCTTGAGCTCTGGGGGAAGGGAATAAAAACCCATAACAAGGAGAAACTAGATCTTCATGCTGCTTGGACTCTGAGGAGCAGGGATTACTAAGCATAAGCAAAAGATCCCTTGAGTTGAGCACAGTTAGCCCTAAAAGACACACAGAACTTGCTTCTTATAGAAGCTTCTACCACCTTTTAGAAGCTAAGACTGTAACTGGTTTGTGAGGGTATGTTTACCTGCTTTAACCTTGTAAATAACTCTCTTCCTTCTTTTTTCTTAGCCAATAAATCTTTAGTTAACTCATTACAGGACTGGCTACAAGTCTTGTCTTTGGTGTCAGATCTAAAGAGTAATTGACCTGGGGTAAGTGACTGGTCCTCGGGGAAGGGCAATAACCCGACTATTGTTGTGATTTTTGGTGTAATGGACCACCTGTCACAAAGGCAAGCTTTGGTAGATTGGCCCCACTGAGTGAAATCCACTTCCCAATCCCTACCCAAGGGGTTCTCCTGAGACCCAATCTAGAGCCCTGTCTTCTGGACCCTCCTTCTCACCCTGTCACAGCCACCTCCTGTGTGCATGGTCTCCCTGTGGTGTAGAGAGGACATCTGTTCCCGAGGGGACAGCGCCATGTACTGAGCGCTCACCCCCGTCATCTCTTATACCCACCCTGGGAACCCACATGCAAATCCCTGTCCAGGGGTTCCTGTTAAATACCAACCCCTGGTTCTAGGAGCCTCAGTCTCTCCCCAGACACAGAACTGCCCTCTCCGGCTCAGAATTCCCCCTCATTCACCAACTCCTATAATGAGATTGTTATTGAGCTTGATCTTCTCTATACTTGTCTCCCCATCATGTGAGTATTCAGGGGGGACTGAGGCCCTGCTCTCACTCACACACACATTGCAGCCCAGACACTCACTTGTTCTTTTCTTCTCCTTTCCACAGGTGTCCTCTCCCAGGACATGCATATATGTGTGTGTGTGTGTCTGTCTGTCTGTCTGTGTGTATCTCTCTGCGTGTGTCTTTGTGTGTCTCTCTCTCTGAGCGTGTCTGTGTTTTCCTTTAGGGATCATATTGGCTGACGTTCTCCCAGCAGAACATTTCGTCGCCCACACGGCAGCTCCTGTTCCAGTGGGTAAATCGGCACCAAAGAGTCGAGACTTCTGTATTGTCATCAAATCTCTCTGACCTTTACCTAGAGAGCAGGAGCTTTAACACCACTCGCTGCTTCTCCCCCGTACATAGAGCCCCCTTTCCCCCCCCCCCGCCAGCCCCTTTCACCTCCCACCCCCCCCGGGTGAGACCCGCCTGCAAATCCCTGCCCCGGGGGTTCCTGTTAAATACAAACCCCTGATTCTAGGAGCCTCAGTCTCTCCCCAGACACAGAACTGTCCGGTCCTGCCCCTGGGGAGTTTCTCCATTGACAACCACCAGGACATCGTCACTGCCCAGTGCCCTTCTCCCTTTTCCTGTTCACCGCCCCATCGGGTGAGTGTTTCATGGGATGCTGAGAAACACCGAAGTGGGGAATGCACCGGTTCCAGGCCAGACTCAGCTCTGTCCCCCCTTTCTCCAGGTGGCCTCTCCCTGGTGCAGCTGGTCCAGGCCAGCCCGGGAGCAGTGAAGCCCGGAGAGACCCTGAGTATCACCTGTAAGTTCTCTGGTCCCATCAGCACCGGGGGGAATTGCTTCCAGCAGAGGGCAGGAATGACACACACAACTGTTCTGTTTGAAAACAGCCCCCAAAATAAAGTGCTTCATCCCTCTACTGTATCTCCCCACCCTTTGATTCTACAGTCACAGCCCTTGTTCTGACAGAGCCCACAGACTGCACCTTCTCTCCATGCCCAGTTCCGTCTGCTTTCATTGAAACCTAGTGTCACCCTCCAGTACCTGAAACCAGCCTTTCTCCCACTGCAGTTTGAGCTGTTTCCCCATCAGACATTTGCAGGAGAGATTCATTCCTATGGACAACACGTATACATTGTTTAGATTTATTTTACATGCCCAGCATAGGCCCATAGATACCAGACAAATCACTGGGGAATATCAGAGAACAAAAGACTCTGTTGATCGCTTCCCCCCCGCACCCACAAACAGGAGAAGTGCAGCTGGACTCCTCCCATCAGCTTGAGCTCTGGGGGAATGGAATAAAAACCCATAACAAGGAGAAACTAGATCTTCATGCTGCTTGGACTCTGAGAAGCAAGGATTACTAAGCATAAGCAAAAGATCCCTTGAGTTGAGCACAGTTAGCCCTAAAAGACACACAGAACTTGCTTCTTATAGAAGCTTCTACCACCTTTTAGAAGCTAAGACTGTAACTGGTTTGTGAGGGTATGTTCACCTGCTTTAACCTTGTAAATAACTCTCTTCCTTCTTTTTTCTTAGCCAATAAATCTTTAGTTAACTCACTAAGCCAATAAACCTTTAGTTAACTCATTACAGGACTGGCTACCAGTCTTGTCTTTGGTGTTGGATCTAAAGAGTAATTGACCTGGGGTAAGTGACTGGTCCTCGGGGAAGGGCAATAACCCGACTATTGTTGTGATTTTTGGTGTAATGGACCACCTGTCACAAAGGCAAGCTTTGGTAGATTGGTCCCACTGAGCAAAACCCACTTGCCAATCCCTACCCAAGGGCTCTCCCTGGGGTGTAAAGGGGACACATGTCCTTGAGGGGACAGTGCCATGTACTGATCGCTCACCCCCGTCATCTCTTCTACCCACCCTGGGAACCCGCATGCAAATCCCTGTCCAGGGGTTCCTGTTAAATACAAACCCCTGGTTCTAGGAGCCTCAGTCCCTCCTCAGACACAGAGCTGCCCGGCCCTGCCCACTGGGGAGTTTCCCTCATTATATTACATTTTTCTACCTTT